CTCTGGATACGAGTCAGTTCGCCAAAACTGGTTGAAGAGTTCCAGCATTTTTACTTTACCCGGAGTAGGCAGGAGATTGGTCATTGTCATTGACAGACTTTTGCGCGATATTGATAAAATGTCAATGATAGACTTGATCCTCAAAAAAATCTTTGTCAAAATCTCATTCATTTTTTCATCAATAACAAATAGCGAATTCGTTTATTATCGGGGTTAACACCAGTTCCAACCCAGTGCGAAATCGAACTTTTGTCAGTGTAAACCTCAACCTGAGCTAGGTTTTAAAAACAAACAAGCAAACTGACGTTTGTCAGAAAACAAGCAGACCCAATCATGGTACCCGATTAAGGTTGGAACTAAACAATAAACGAATTCGCTAAAAGATTCACCTGGTAACAAAAACTTTAATTTCGTGCATTCTGAGTCACATTGCATTGTTATCCAAGCAGTTCAGGACGCTTGTTCACTTTGATGGCTCCAGGTTATTGTTTTTGTTTTGAAATCAGCAACATGTAATTCTAAACTTGTATGGGAATGTGCAATGTCACTCCAAAAATTGGCCTGTCAAAACCAAGGGAACTTATTTTGGGTTCCTGGTTACTGCGGAATTCAAGGGAATGAGAAAGTCGACACACTAGTTAGGCTTGGATCATCTCAACAATTTATAGGACCATAACCATTCTGTGGAGTTTCTGCTTGCTCTCTTAGAATGGAGTTCAAGAAATAGGAGAAAATGAAAGTGGAGACCAATTGGAACAACACTTCCATTGCTAGGCAATCGAAACGGTTCATAATTCCGAACATTTCAATTACTAGCAAAATTCGTCAATTATCAAAGAAAGATCTCAGTGTCTATACTGGTTTGATAATAGGACATTGTCCATGTAAATATCACTTGAAGTTAATAGGAAAGCTTCACGAGGATATGTGTCGATTATGTGGCATAAAAAAGAAGACTCTGAACACCTGCTATGCTCATGTACAGCAATCTTCAATAAGAGGTGTATTTTGCTGGATAAGGGGCTGCCAGAACCCTTTGATATTTGGAATTCAGTTCCCAACCAAGTAGTGCAATTCATTCGAAATGTAATATCTGACTGGGAAAATGCTTTCGGTCACTTCACAAAATGGTAATACGACATGCTGATAAAGTAATATTAAAACGGAGAATATATCACAATAACTGGTCGCAGTGATCAAAATACCCAACACGAAAAAAAAATTGTTTTGCTCAAGCAATTTAATTTCGTTTCAAATTTAACTAACACACAAATCAGCACATGTTCATCACTGACGGAAATGCCACTGACTATTGACATGGTTTGCCTTGACGACGACTGTTAGCTCAAATGAGTGACCAAAGCAGAATTTTGAGTATCACTGTGTCATTGTCATTTTCATTGTCGAGATTTCGCAGCACTGGAAGCAGCTGTAAAACCCATATTGATCCACCGGGCAGGTGAATAGAACCTTTGTTACACAGTATAATCAACCGGTGGAAACTAACGATTTAAAATTGGCCACAACTTGACTAGCCTATTGGTCCCAAGCAAATCGATTAACGTACCCCATTCTAGTCAAAATTGTAGTACTACACAATGTTTGTTTTGATTCGCTATGAAAGTTTGACAGATAAAATGAGGGGTGCGTGGATTTCCCTATGTTTCGAGGGGTGCATCGATTAGCTTGGGACCGAAGAGAGTACCAGAGCTGAGACAAAAAGTTGAGCACGTTTCTCCGGGATCTGCTAGTCTTAGAGTTACCTCTATGGTATAATCTAGTTTTTGATATTATTTATAGATAGAGGAGGCTTTAATAGTTGTTTTTATTTTTATTGATCTCAGTTTCTACACAGGCCAATTGAACACCACTTGATTGTTAAAATCGAAGTCCAGTTCAACAATTGATTTATGTCTACACGCTTGTTTCTTAACATGAGAATAATTCTATGAGACAAATGTGGCTGATATTTGTGGAGGTGACATGAGTTTTACATAGTGCGAAGTGAATTTAAATCACTTTCACTTTCTTGGCTTACAACTGGAGCTTTAGCACTTAATCTGCTTTATTGCGCTCCATCATGACCATTTAGTGTTCATGGTTAGTAAACATTGCACGCAGCTTGTGCTACTTTTTCTCGAGTGAGTGAACTCAAACCATCCATCGAGTGCACCGATGAATTTATGTTCATGCATGAGAAAAAAATAACACAAGAGGGATTAATTTGGAAAACTGTATGGTAGGCAAATTTCACACGACGAATTTTAGCATTTAGTGCGTCAGAGTACCCTTTCGAGTTGGAAATCTTGGACGGTGGTTACATTCATCAATGTTTCTTCGAGAGCGTGGTTTAAAGACTTGGACTTAGGACGTGACTTCATTCGCGTGATGAGTAGAGTTATGTCTCACTAGATGCGCATCTCCATAGAATAAACCTCGTGGACAGCAACATCTGTCGGTGTGGAAACGGTTACGATGACATCGATCACGCAGTTTGGCAATGTAAGGATAATGACGCCGCCAGAGAGCAACTTTTGAATACCATCGAGGCCCAAGGAAGGCAACTATATGCAGTCGATTTATGTGTTTCTAATAATGTCTAGTATATAAGAATTTAAATCCTTTGTCTTTTGTCTCTCATAAATTAGTCGTTGTTTGTCTTGTCCACCCGTCTCGATGAGCCTCACGTCGCCAACTGCTCACCATAGTCGGTCGAACTCCAGACGGAGCTAGAAATGCACTACGTTCATACTGGCGACAATGCTTTGATAAGACAATGAAACCCCACCCCCAAGCTCCTCTCCTGGTCCTATCTATCGACAATGTACCCCTCTAACTTCGGGTAAGTCGCGAGTATCCGGACCAACTCCTACTAGACATAGAAATAAGTGAATTTTGTTATAAATAATGAACACTTAATTATCGGCTCCGTAAAGGTTACGCGATAGAGCCTTCCAAATAAACGAACTAGAACGGGTTTCAAATAAAAAACGGTCCAAGGAACGCAATTTAGAAGTATTCAAAATGGCCGAATTTTAATACAAATGTGAATGTTTGCCCATAACGAACAAATTATGCGAAGTTTTATGCAAATCGAAAAAGGTTGAGTCTAATCGATTCGTCATTTGGCGTGGAGCTGCTCGACATTGTTCGAATATCTAAAACATAGCATCAGCGAAGAACTTGAGATAAGCTCCGAAAACATCAGTAAAGTTTTAAGAATTTAAACGAAGTTCAAAAAAACTTGAGATAACTTCAGAGAAAATCCGAGAGCTTCGGAAAAATTTCGTGGATTCGTGGAGTGCTAAGAACTGTGGAGAAATGCCGAGAACTTCGGAGCAGTTCAAGCTCTTGAAATAAGCTCCGATAACTTCAGCTAAAGTCCAAGAAATTCATATATTTTATCTTACATGAAGTGGAAGTTATTCAACCCCGGGATGCCAGGTGTATTTACAAAAAAAAAAATCGACGAGATGTTTTCACATGTCTTCACCGCTGCTTTTAAAATTTGTGAGGAAGGAGTTCAATATTTCAGATGTATAAAACCTAGTCTTCCTAGAAGTTCAGGAATTCAATTCAAGCAGAGAACGTCATTTGATTTCGTTGTAGAATTTCAAGGAACTTCATATATTTTCAAGAAACATCGTAGAACTTTGAAAACTTTGTAGACATTAATTGAACTGCGTGGAAGATCTGGAAACAGTGTAACTAACTTTGTAAAAGCTCAGTAAACTTGTAGAACTAACTTCAGCAAGTTTTATAGTTGAGTACTGGCTGTGTATGTGTAGACTAGACTAGACTAGAATAACTTCAGCACATTTTATAGAAGTTTGGAGAACTTTGTAGAACATCATCAAACATTGTTGAACATTTGCGAACTTTAGATAAATTAAGCGAATTGTTGTAGAACGGGAACTTCAATGAAGCACAGGGATCTTCCTTTTACTTCATTTAGACTTTTTTAAACTACAAATATTTTGTTCAGGGGACTTAGGAAATTTAATATACATTCGAGGAGCTTCGTAGAGCTTCAAGAATTTTGACAAAATTCCGGATTAACGACGCTTTGAAGAATTGGCAGCCTTGCACAAGTTTGGGAAACTTTGTTTAATTTTAAGAAACTTCATACACATTTTTGTTTAAGCTCCAGGGCACTTCGTAGAAGTTTAATTGACTTTAAATAAATCAGGGAATTCCGTGGGGATTCAGAAAACTTTGTAGAACATCAACGAAATTTCAAAAAATCAAGGAGTTTTGTAGAAGTGCAGCGAACTTAATAGGAATTCTGAGAACTTTGTAAAAGTCAAGCAAATAATTTAAGGAGCATCGTATAACTTCGTAGAAGTGTTGGAATTTTTTAAGTTCAAGGAACTTCATACAAGTTCAGAGAATTGCCAGAGAGGGTTTGATTGGGACCATTATTTGTCAATGGGTAGTACATACTGTGCAAAGAAGACTATTCTGTGTGCAATAATATGAGACACATTTCTTTTTTTATTGGCAAGATAAGAATCAAAGTGAAACATTATTCATCAAGTTGAACTTTTACCTGCTCTCAAGTTAAATTTGCAATCAATTATTATCGATTCAGATATTAAGACCTTGTAAAATGAACTACTAAAAACTAGTATTCTAGCATTGTTGAGTCGGTAAAAGCCTCAACATAGATTCATCAAATAAACCTAAACCACTGTATCGCTATGCTACGTTCAAACAATTCGCGACACACAGGTAGCAGTTGTTAAGTAGCGAAATCGCAGCTGAGTGGTATTAAGTGTACAGGTGGAGGAAACAAGTAGAGCAAAATGAAACATACTTCTCTGCCTCGTTCGTTCGTATCCGTATATGAATACCTTCAAGGTAAGCTATTTTCGACGAGAAATCGTTTCTCTCATTCTACTACAGCAGAACACGATTGCTTACTATTGCTCCACAAAAAAAAAATGATAGTGACAATTTTCCCGACTCGCGAACCTCTTCTCAAGGCCCCTGACACTTACCTTTGAAGTTTTTGATGACAATTTTCTTGATATCGCCCGGTTTTCCTGTGCCCGCATTAGTCGTCATCTTGATGACCGCCCCGTTGGTATTGCTAAGTGCTGAAAAATTTGCCCGTTTCCGATCGAGTTCGGTCAGATTCATAGCGTTTGCCAGCGGTACTTCTTCTTCCGCTTTCGATTTGCCTCCCGTTCCCCTTCCTGCTGCGATCAGCTTTAATCGTTTTCCGCTAAGATCACGGCTGCTTCCGCCACCGCCGCCTCCACCACCGGTACCGAACGGTTCTACCTTACGTTTCGAAATTGTGACCAAGTTTTGTGGACGCGCACTGGTTTAACTAGTTGGTCTTTTTTTCCCGATGCACAACAATCGAAAAATTCTTTTCGGCGATGCAAGCAAAGCGAAGCAGATGACAATACTGCTACGATGCGATCAGGAGGTTTATTGTTGTTGCCGTTTTGGACTGTCAAACACAGTCACACTCACGCACACTGTTGCACTTTCCGAATCAACAAACACCACGAGCTCGAGCACCGAACTGCTGCAGCAGCCGATGTATACAGATATGAATGGGACCGAAAGGGACGGCAAGCGACGATATCTCTCTGTCTGGAAGGTTCAGCTGTCACTCTGGCGGTCGGAATTTTATTTTTCCACTGCTTCCAACTTCAAGAAACCGAGCACCAACTACTTTCTTTTTCACTTTTTCGCAGTTGGATGACCACTTTCGCGGTGGCTTTCTATCTCACGCGACGTACCATTCCCGGCGGAAAGGATTGCGAATCGCAACACGGTTGAATATTCTGCCAAAATTGCTAGATTTTTCCACAACACTTTCCAGACCGAACCTGCTGCTTTTGCACACCAGAACCAAAAACTCGTCGAAATCACAAACGAACCCCCCAGCTGCGGCTATCCTTTTCTTTCGTACAGTTCCAAAGCGGCAAGCCCGCGAGCACGCTTGTTCTTGTGACGGAGCGATTAATCAACAGAAACGAGGGGTGGCTTGATGGTAGCAATTACCGGGTAACAACTTTTTCCTCTATCGTTACCATACGTTGTAGCTTTTTTCGGAACAATGTGGCGATTATAAAAATCTCGATCAACAATAGAATGGGACCGATCAGCATTTTGTGAATAAAGGTTAATCTTGTAATGCCGTTCTCACGTGATCCGAAGCTCACCTATCCAAACCAAAAACACCATCGGGTAGGGGAAATTATCTCCCCATATTCTCGTTTTACTCTCCGCATATACGCGAATCGATTCTATGACACTACCCCGAAATTAAGACAAATGGAAGAACAGCATGTGATCAAAAGAAGGGTAGATTTTTGAGAAGAAAATCAGTGACACCAAAATTGTCCTAGCTCGCTTGTATAATATCTAGGGGAAATGACGGCTTCGGCATGCCAGACTATTTTCGGCAACCCAAATTGAAACACTATTTTCACTGGATTTTCTTACGAAAACACTTCGCTGAATGCATGCAAACGATTCTTTATGCTTTCAACTTCAATTTGACTATATTTTTACCACTGAGAAAAAGCAATCTAGCACGGTTTTCTTGAAATGAAACACACGCACTACAAATTGTAGCTGATTTCGAGTTGCCGATAATAGAACAGCAGATTTACATGCAGTTCAAATGGAACGGTTACCGAAGAAAAACTGGTTGCCGACAATACTCGCTCTCACTAGAGAAGATTGGAGCTTTGTAAAAGCGTTTCAAAACAGTTTTTGACAATTATTTCGACAGAAATTGTTAGAGCAGCTGGCAGCAAAAGATTGTAAACAAACCAATACTGCATATGTGTGCGTTCCTTAGAGAAAAAGGCTATAGAAAGAAGGTCGCTGCTTAGGTTGCCGAGAATACGTAAATTCCCCTATATACAATCTTCACACTGCCGTACTCTAACGGAACTATCAACTCTATGCTTTCATCTACTCCATCTATCGTATAAAAATACCACTACAGTCTGTTATTTGAAATTAGCATCTTCAAAATTGGGTTGTTTAGGGGTATTGAGATAAAAAAACATCGTTATCTGCATTAATAATGGAACCGAAACCCAAAATTTCATCAATTTAGGTACACTGGAACTATTTTAAATAAGTACGATTACATTAGTAACAATCACCATCATAGCGCCCCTTGGTGGAACTTTGTATGAGAGCGAGCTGTCAACGAATAGATCAAATATTTAAATCTTAATTTAAAAATCGAGATGAATGTCTATGGGATCGTTAAAAATATCATTGTGCTAAGAAGACAAAGCTATATCAGATGAAACATAAAAATCGGTATATTTTTCGAAGTAAAACAACCCAATTGACAGGTATTATGAGTCTAACACATACTTTACACCCTCTTCTTGTTACTTACAAGTACAACATATCATTATATCATCTAATGATTGCATAATTCCGAAAAATGTGTTTCTATAGCAAATGAGTGGACGCAACCCTGATTCGGGGTTATGGCGTTCGGTATAGTGTCATAGAATCCATGAACGTTAATGAGATAAAGTTTTAACCTTATGTATTATGGTTTGGGCCCATCACTAAAAATTTGCTATCGATCAATTTTATCTAGATGAACACGTCATTGGGACGGTAGTAATGGATATTTTTTTCGCTATTGGGTTCTTTATACCCCGTTCACATTACAGCCTATCACCCCTATTCTGTATTTCGTTTCGAACGAAATTCTCATGCAAAAAAATATTTTTTTGTATGAGAATTTCGTTCGAAACAAAATACAGAATAGGGGTGTATATCACGTAATATAGGCTGCCTTGTAATGAGCTCTCATACATAGGATTTCCAGTGAAAACTAGATGTATGAGTGCTCATTGCAAGACAACGTATATCACGTGATATACGCTGTAATGTGAACGGGGTATTAATTGGTATTAAGGGTATTGAGGTAAATGCATATTCGTAATCTGCATTAAAAGTGGAACCTAAGCCCAAAATTTCATCAACTATTCGGAACTATTTTAAATAAGTACGATTTCATTTGCAATAATCACATTATTAGCGCCCCTCGGTGTCATTTTATATGGGAGCAAGCTATCAGTTTGTTAGTTTAGTGTCAAACAGTGAAGTTATTATTTTGTTTCCAATCTTGATTTAAAAATTAAGATGCAAGTGTGTGGGTTCGAAAAAAATATCGACACGAACCAATTCATAACTTTTGCATGCGGGTTCATGGCTTAGCTAAATATTTGCCGCAAACACGGAGCCAGATGTTAGTAGTGTACTCTGGTCAGAAATTTTTATTGTTTTAGCTATGGTCATTCATGTCGGTTTGTCGGTGGTAAAAGTTGAAAACCCAATAGAGATTGCTAAAGTATGACCAACAATCAATACGAAACTAACGATTTTAAATTGGCTCACCACTTTAGTAGCCTATTGGTCCCAAGCAAACGATTAACGTACCCTATTCTAGTTGAAATTCTATTACTACACTATGTTTGTTTTGATTCGCTATGAAAGTTTGACAGATAACATCAGGGGTGTGTGGATTGATGCAGAACATGCAGGGGTGAGTGAAATAGCTTGGGACTGCTTGGGACCGTTGTTCTGGTACTGAGTGAGCCAAAAATAATAATGATTTTCTTCGGGACCCAGTGGTCTTAGAGTTACCTCTATGGTATGACCAACAATCAATAAGAAACTAACGATTTTAAATTGGCTCACTACTTGACTAGCCTATTGGTCCCAAGCAAACGATTAACGTATCCCATTTTAGTCGAAATTCTAGTACTACGTAATGTTTGTTTTGATTCGCTATGAAAGTTTGACAGATGAAATGAGGGGTTATTCGTTTTTCCTATGTTTCGAGGGGTGAATCGATTAGCTTGGGACCGAAGAGAGTACCAGAGCTGAGCCAAAAATTTGAGCACGTTATTCCGGGACCTTCTAGTGTTAGAGTTACCTCTATGGTATGACCATAGAGGTAACTCTAAGACCACTGGGTCCCGAAGAAAATCATTATTATTTTTGGCTCACTCAGTACCAGAACAACGGTTCCAAGCAGTCCCAAGCTATTTCACTCACCCCTGCATGTTCTGCATGAATCCACACACCCCTGATGTTATCTGTCAAACTTTCATAGCGAATCAAAACAAACATAGTGTAGTAATAGAATTTCAACTAGAATAGGGTACGTTAATCGTTTGCTTGGGACCAATAGGCTACTAAAGTGGTGAGCCAATTTAAAATCGTTAGTTTCGTATTGATTGTTGGTATGACCATAGAGGTAACTCTAAGACCACTGGGTCCCGAAGAAAATCATTATTATTTTTGGCTCACTCAGTACCAGAACAACGGTCCCAAGCAGTCCCAAGCTATTTCACTCACCCCTGCATGTTCTGCATGAATCCACACACCCCTGATGTTATCTGTCAAACTTTCATAGCGAATCAAAACAAACATAGTGTAGTAATAGAATTTCAACTAGAATAGGGTAAGTTAATCGTTTGCTTTAGGCTACTAAAGTGGTGAGCCAATTTAAAATCGTTAGTTTCGTATTGATTGTTGGTATGACTGTGTCAGCGATTTGTTTTCATCGGGAAAATTTTCCGCTATGAAGCTTTTTTTCCCGATGAAAACATTTTACGTATACGTATACGTGGTATGCGTGACGTAGTGTGCGTACGATAAACGTCAGCAATCTCTATTAGGGAAGAAACCTTTGAAGTTTACGAACAATTCGTTTAGCAATCCAAGAAGCAAACGTTTTCGTTTAGTTTCTCGTCCATTTGATGTTCTGACACTGATTTTGTCCCGAATACCGGCCATCAAATAAATATTGTTTCACTTCAGCGTGAGCTTCCTTTTACGATTCTGACAGCGAAGTACTAGCAACGGGTAGTTTCAGAATTCCCTTGATATCACGAACCTTCAGAGCATTTTTAGCGAACTACTTACCTGCAGATTTATGTAAAATTAGTGCATTTAATATGGGGATGGGGAGTACTTCAAAGTGCGTGGTGGATGGTGTGGTCCACCTACCACTGTTTCCCTGCTGTTAAATTTAGCTAATTTTATTTATTTTTTGCTCCGGTGGTGGTTCGCCTTCTTCAATACAAACTGCTTTCAGACAGCCAATGGAATTGGCAATTTAATCCCACCATTATCAATATACCTGATGACAATCACCAACTGCTCGTGACGGCCACAACCGCTCGTATCATCTGCAATGATTGCAACTGGTTTTCCTCGCAAATTTTTCGCAATGTTCCGCAACTTGATGCCGAACATTCAACATGTTTTAAAGATGATATAAAGGACAATCCCGAAATTATTGCAACGCACATAAACAACTGTAACTTTCTAACCACGGTAACAAATGACAGAATTTTCAGAGAAGATTCTTAGACGAATTCTTTGTAAGACAACAATATACCAAGGTTCAATGGCAAACTAATACCACCTTTTCAATCAGGGAATCCAAAAGCTGTATTTAAACTTTGTACAATTGCGAAAAAGTCCATCTTCAGAATTCCTTGAGGGTCTTTTCGAATTTTTTAGAACTCTATGAGCTCTTCTGAATTTTTTCTCAGAAGTCCACTAGAATTATTTTTAGAACTCTTCTTGACTTTTACTCATAACAACTGAAATTTCCTTAGAGTTTCAGAAGAATTTCCTCAGTATTATCCAGAAATTATTCCCGGAATGAGCTAGAAATTATCGGTACTCCTTAGAAATCTTCCTCAAAATCCCTTTGGAATTCACTGAAAATTTAATTTTCTCTGTATTCTTTTCGGAATTATCTTGGAACTATCTGCAGGATTCACTAGAAATTATTCGAAGAATTTTCTTGGAATACTCCCCAGAAATCCTTCGGAACTGTCC